GCACGTGTGAGGCAGTAACGCGTCATACCCTCTTGCATACCAAAGATAAAGACATGGACTTGTGAAGCCATGTCAATTGGCTGCGTGGTAATGCACGAAGCAAGATGACGTGTCTTCTGCACGTAGTCACGCATCGACAGCTTGCCCTGTCGGAGTGAGAAGAAATCTGCACGCAAGCGAGATTCATCTTGAGGAGGCTCGAAAGCCAGTCGTAAGTCACGCTGGATATCGTCCAGCGTAGGAAACGCCGACTCATCTACGACGAGCTTTCCGAGGGCCCATTCCTTGGCTTTGCCGGCAAGACGAGACAGCAGGAAATTGACCTTGGCCGTCGGAGCGTCAATTAATCTTGACGCGATTGCAATATCCACCTCGCGAAACCAGCGATTGAGGGGGAGACGATCCGGACCATCACCGGAGTACATTGACGTCTCCATCTTGATAGCGTCATGGTGCGAAGTGCGCGAGGGAGTCAATACTCGCCGATTCGCTTCGGCGAGCTCGCGCACCATAATGTCTTGGATGTCGGCACGTTGATCGTCAGGCGTCGCTGTGCTCAGCAGCGACGTCACAATAGTTTCACCAGACACCGCCGCGAGGCGATGTAGTGCCTGCCACTTCACCGAGGTGAGATGTGGGAAATCAGAATGCTCCAGCGAGACCGCTGGAGCCACCGAAGACTCGCCCATCTTCATCTCGAATCTGGTCATTGGAAGGAATACGAAGTGCTACCAGGTATAACGGTCTAAGGACCCGTTACCGTCTTACACTAAAAGGGCGTTGAGGAAGCGCTCTTAATTAACTCGTAAATATAACTCTGTTTTATTTTTGTTTTAGTTTTAATTCGCAGTAAGTGCGAATATGTTCCCTAGCTCATGGGAACCACTCAAATATGGAAGTCAATTTATTATTGGCTAATTATTGGGTCTGGCACCCCAATAATAAACCAATAATAAAATGACGCGCAGTATTCGCTAATCGGATACTGCCCTATGCCTACTTATGTAATTATGTATTAATCCTATGACTACTTATGTAATAGGTAGACCCTTACATCACACGTAAAGTCCGTGACGCGATGGCAAGCGCACGGTACAAGCAAAAACAATATGCAGACCAGCATGGTCGCAAAATCAATGAACACTTTAGTGTTGGGGACAAAGTGCTATTAAGTACTGTTACCCTACCTAAACATGCAATTTCTGTACTACCTGGTGCTACTAAGCTATTTCCCTGATTCATTGGGCCATTTACAGTGGTTGAAGAAGTTGGAGACCTAAACTATAGGCTCACTCTCCTACCGTATATGAAGACTCACCCCGTATTTTACGTGGGTTGTCTGAAACGGTATGTTGATCCAGAAGAGATCACATATCCACATCGATCTAACGAGACCGATGGTGACGTCGACTGGGAGTCGAGCGTCGCGGCCGATCAGGCGACGAGGAAGCCGAGAGGCTCCCCGTATACGAGCGAGGCGATAGAGGACTCGGCGATCGAGGAGGACTCAGCGCTTGAAGCGGATCTCTCATCACCAGTCGCTCTAAGATGTCCAAACGGGTTTTCAGGCGGTCATACCCCTGACGGTCTCTCGCCCTCACATCACGCAGATCCGAGGTCAGTCGCGAGACTTGACTCTCGGGATCTGTCACCTGCCTCTTCAGCGCAGCGGACTCAGCCTTCGACTGAACAGCAGCAGGATAGGCAGCCGCGAGTAGGTGAGCGTAATCGCCACTTCTATCGGGCGCCACCTGTGTTGGTGGACACGGAAGGGAATACGCGCTTCATTGTTGGAGGCTGTTGGCCCACCGGTTTGTGAAGCGAAAGCTCCAAATCCTTGTCCAGTGGAAGGGTTACCCAACGAGCTTTGACTCATGGGAGCCTGTTGACGCTTTGCGCGTCGACGTGCCTGGGCTGGTGGCTGCTTATGTGAATCAGCACCAGCTGACGTCTTTCTGCTAGGTCCGGATGGATTAGCAGAAGAAGCGTGGCGAGAATTAATTGGGGGTCGCTTACCACCCAAGATTTCATGCGCACGCTTCATGGCGAAGCTGATTCGCTGCGACCGCTGTTTAGTTGCATCTACATGCAAAGTAACACGGCGCCGAAGTTCAGCTTCATAGTCATCGGCTGTTTCGTTAGAACGCAGCACGACTGGAATTGGGAAAGCACGACCAAGTGCTTTGCCCTGCTTTTTCCACAAAGGAAAGACGCTATAGAATTTATGAGCGTCAATAGTTGCACGCTGCAAAAGCGCTGCACTAGACCCATCCGAGTTCATCCACTCAGATGGAGGTGACATTGGTGGCAAGCCACCACTCACGTAGCCGCCCTTGCTACGGCGGGCTAGTGAGGCCGAACGTGTACTCGGTGGAGCTCCCCTTTCTCCTTTGTTTGACTGAGTCGCGACTACTCCTTTCGAAGTAGAGTGCTCAGTCTTAATCGCTGCGCTCGTAGACGCATGCGAAGAGGCTTTACCATCGCTTGCAGGAAGAATAGACGCTCCCTCAAGGACGGGTGCCTCATATGATGGGGACATATGTCCCATCAATGCACTATGCTCATCGCCACTTTGGGGTGATGGCAATGGCGTACTCGATTGTAGTCTACAATGAGAGATGGATCTTCATCCACATTATCGTGAGATGGAAGATTCACCTCAGTGCCTGAAGCGCTTTGCGACGGCTGCGATAAATTGCGGCGCGTTCGCTTAGTGTTGGACTGCATGGGCGCCTTTGCAGCTAAATCATTATTCTTAACACGTTTCGGTGGCATGAGAATTGAGTAGACTAAGCGGCGCGTTTATAACGGCTCGCAGTCTCTCTGTCTCCTAGGCGATGTTTAACAAAATGTAAAAAATCGTTCTAAAACGGGGGATGGTGTAACAGGGCATCTAGTTACACGTAAACATTAAGTAATATACTTAATGTAAGGTCTAAAAGTATTAATGATTACTTTTGACCTATCACTTGGGTGCGATACACAAATGTGATCCACCCTCGTGAATGTGATATCCATTGATGGATTCACATGGGAAGGGATGACGCTAGTTGAAGCTAGACATCGCGACCTTCCAGAAGGACGTCATTCGCAAACTTAAATCTAGATTCAAGATCATGCGTCAGGATACGCTTCTAAAGAGTCGCGTATCCGATCTATATATATAGCCAATCAATAGTTAAGTATATTTAGTTATAATGAATTAAATATAGCTCAGTCTTGAATTTGCTAAATCGAAAGCACCGCGCACGAGAAGCTGAAAAAGCTTCTGCGTGACGTCGGTGACTTGTTGTTTACAAGCTCGTTGCACTCTTGCTTAAGCGAGAGGCAACTGGTGGTACGACTGCTTAAGCAGTCGACCAACCACACAACCACCCTCTCACGCGAAGGTAATACGGTTAAACCGCTTCCTCGCTTTTGCTGAAGATGTGTGCTAAGTAGCACGAGGCAACTTCGTAAAAGTGCCCGTCTACACCTAAACATTAATTATAACCGCATTAAGAGATCGTATCAAGCGCATTGGTGGGGTATTTGGTGAAGAAGAGACTCAAATAGTATTTGTTGCGTGCGCCGCTGCTGTCGCTGTCCACGTCATGAAAGTGACACGTAAGTTGTGTGCTAGAACGCCAGGTGGACAGGTTAACTTTAGGCGGTCGCCATCCGTCCTGCGCAAAATACAAGGTTGATGTAAAGCGCGATGGAACTAATTGGCGCTGAATGTGGATATCAATAACAGCGCTGGATACGCCATGATATTTATCAATCATTACGATAATGCATTACGATATCGCTGCAACGGCACAATACAAGTCTTTGCCCCTTTATACCTGCTTACTGATGACAGAGCTTTAAGCCTACTGCAACTCACAAGGGAGCCTTTGCTTGCCATGCTGGGCCTTGCATACTTGTGCTTCACACCATTGGTATTCCTTTTGAAGTTGCTAAACGAAAGCGATTCAGGTGGCTGCACTTGCTTTTGGCATTTCGCACGAACAAATACACGTCGAGGAGACGTCAACAAACAAGGTTCCGAGTTTACAGCTGTCAGCAGCTTCCATGAGCACAGGCTTATATAAAATGGCGACGCTGAACGCGTGTGAGCAGATAATTGCATGCCTTGCACCTATTCGGATCGCTTCGGACCGGACGCATCCCTTAGCGATATCACAAATGCTGCCTACATTGTGCGCATCTTAATGTCGGCGCAAGGGTTCTACGTTGTTTCAAATGAGCGTCGCGGATACAATTTCTCCAAATCGGTAGCTGGAAAACTCTCAGTGGCACGGCGCTCAATTACTTCACAACGGGCATAGCTTGCACTAGATGTGATAACAGGAAACTTCCACATGTTGAGCATCGATATCCTGATGGACCTCGGTACCCCGCTATTGATATTCGTCATATTGAAGGCGCGTTCATACATAGGTTTGGTCTCTTTGCGTTGGAAGAGTTAGTGTGGGGCGATGATGGACACCCATTAAGAATCGAGGCAACCTATTACTCGAGGTCCCGGCACGTACAAAATTCCTAGTGCCAACGACGTGCCGCTAAGCTTCCATGTGTGGCATCGAATCCAATCAAAAAAACAAGTTTGCAGTGCGCTAAGGCGGTTGGAGAGCCGACGTTGTTCGTGCCGTCTAACCCTTTTTTTGCAGTCAAGAAGCGATATACGCGGCTAGAGCAGACTCTGGTCATCATCAATACTTTGAGCTGCGGAGTTCCGCGACCCCTAAACGAGCTCGAATGGCTTGCGCAGACAAAATGCTAACAAAGGTTTTTACGGCACGTGGAGGTGACATGGTTTCATACCAGCCCAGCGGGAGTTTAGTAAACAAGGTCCATGTTTGAGTACAAGAAAGTCATATATATCGAAACCTACTTCTGCTCACCGCATGTTCACTTCCCATCAACCGTCTTCTTTAGCAATCTCCTGAGCGGATGGACCGCAGCCTCTGCTGTCCGCAAGTTCTAGCAGGATGCTACTGGAATCACAAACCAGCCTACGTCGGTGTCAAATACTCTGTGCACTTGCAAAGACCGCGATCGTACTCAGCTCCAACAAGGAACTCGACATCCGGCGTTGAAGATGAAATGCGATAGATCTGGTGTCAACCAGCGAGAACAAGTCAACATACACAATGCTTTTCGCATGACAAAACAACGTATCGTACCTTGTAGCGCCCCCACGTGATCGACCCCGCGATCGTCGCATTGATCCGAAAAATGAGCTCGTTCTTGCTGAAATCTTTCCACAACGCAATCCCTTCAGCAAATCCAGGTTTTATATTGATCCCCGCAATCACATCGCTAATTGAGCCGGCCTTGGCTGTAAATGGCTCGTCGAGCTCCCACTTGCCCACAAGTGTGGTATTGTGGTAAATATCAGCTTGCCCTGATTCCAGTACAAACCCGAAGCGGTTCTCGTTGATTACACTCACAAGCACCTGGTACTCGACCTTAGGCTCTAAGCCCATGATACTGTGTAAAATGGACTCCCATTCAAACTCTCGGTTGCAAACATTGTAGTCCGGCATACGCGGGTAGAACATGAGTGCCAAGACAGTCATCGAGATCAGCAACGTGAGCCACGTGGCGCGCGCAGCAAATGCCTTCCAGTTGACCTGACGCCCCTCATCTTCTTCGTAGCGGATGCGTAGACGCTCTAGTGACTCCTGATCCACCTCGTTCTCAAACAATCGGACTTCTCCCTCCCGAATCTCTCCTAGAAGCAGAGGCTGCCGCTGCGACTGTGTTTCTTCTGCATCGTCGCTATCAAATAGCAATGACAACAATCAGCACGAAAGTCACCAAATGGAACAAAACTACACGCACCTCAGGGCCATTTTTTGTTTCTGTTTCCGCTTGTCGTCATCCAATGCAGCTGTGAGCGCAGCTCGTCGTGTTGGCGTCTTCCTGGCTCGACAGAAAACCGAGCAAATGGCCGAAATGCCACAGAAGCAGCACGTAAGCATCACCATAAGACAAAGCACTGCAACTACCACAGATGGTGGAGGTCCATAGCCGACAAATTGTGGATCGGATCGCTTGCAATCTGTACACAAAAGAGCAAGCGCCGTACAAAGTCAGAGGCCAAAACTTTGCGGTATTTTATTGCAGTGAATTGATTCGCAATAACCTTCGAGATGATGACAGACAGAGACGCCAACGGGGCAGCCAAATGGTGATCCAATAGTGTGGCATTGGAAGTCACTCTGACAGAAATGACAAGTGAGACTGGCATTTAAACATGAATCACAGTCTTTATGGGAGGAACAGCGATCCCACTGGACAGGATTGGCGGCTATTGCAGCGTCAGAGAGTGTCCAATCCACGTCATTCTCGAGTAAAGTCGTCATTATTCCTGCTATTTGTTTTGTAACGGATCAAGTAGCTTCTTTCGCTTCAACCGTCCTCATGGTGTGCACCACCTCACAATAAAATCAAATATTTTATCCTTGTTTTATCAAAGCGACAATCTTTCCAGTACACAAGTTTCTTCCAACCCTCTATTCGAGCGACTTGTTCCCTTCAGACAACCTCCAGATACTTGCAATAGGTGACGACGAGAGGGGCGGGGGAGTCGCTCTGTCTGCAGACATCGCACAGACTTTGCAGCTATCACATACGTATATTATGAGCAAGAATGAGGAAAAGGAAAGCCGTGCGGACTGGGTGGCTGTAGAGGCGCAGTTTCAGAATGGCGAGGTGGGTGCCAATCAGCCTATTAGGCCCAAAAGCGCCTATCAATTCTTCCAGAAACGTGTTATTGATGATGTAAAGCGTGACTTGAGCGTCAAAGCAGCTCAATTGAACGAGCCACTGGAGCTCGGCAGTATTTCGAAGGAGATTAGCGTTCGCTGGGCGCAGCTCTCGACTGGAGACCGTGAGGAGTTTGTGAAGCTCGCGGCAGCTGATAAGAAACGCTACGACGACGAATGTCGCGTACGCGATGAAGAGGTGGAAAAGGAACGTGCGAGGAAGAGAGAAGAGATGTATAGTATTGTACAGGGCAAACGCGAGCGCAAGAAGGTGTGCGAAGTGGAGATGCAAGTGTTTTTTTGGTTTTTTATGACGTTTTTTTGACTTTATTTGTTGTTTTATGTGTTGTACCTTTGTTTTGTACTTCTGAGTAGACTCAGGTGGTGATTAAGGAGACGTCGTTAAAGCATCAACCACGTGAACTCACGGAGAAGCAAAAGGAAGCCAAGAGACTGAGAAAGGAAATTCGACAGCAAGGGATGGATGAACGAGATGAGCTTAAGGCTGAAGAGAAGCGTCAAAAAGAGGCACTTGCAAAGAAGAGGTCTGAGATTGCATCGGCTCGACTCAAGTACTTGCTTTCGCAGAGTGATATGTTTGCTCATTTCAGTGGACAAGTCCAAAAGAAGGGCAAGAAAGGAGTCGCGTTGGATGCGGACGAGAACGCACAGGATACGGACGGCAAGAAGACAAAAGGAAACAAGAAAGGCAAAAAGAGCTCTTTGACTCACGAAGAAGACGAGTTGGACTCGTCGCATCATGTGGGCGTGCGTATTACGAAGCAACCATCAGTGATCAAGTTCGGCACGATGCGAGCATATCAATTGGAAGGCCTTAGCTGGATGGTCAACCTCGCACGCCAAGGTATCAATGGTATCCTTGCCGATGAGATGGGTCTTGGCAAAACGCTTCAGACGATTTCTGTGCTGGGCTACTTCCTCGAGTTCGAGAACATTACAGGCCCGCACATTGTGCTGGTACCCAAGTCTACACTGAGTAACTGGCTGGCGGAATTTGAGCGCTGGTGTCCGTCTCTGCGTGCGGTTAAGTTTCATGGCAACAAGGAGGAACGCTTACGATGTGTGCAGGAGGTGCTTTGCCCCGGTCTGTCTGACGCCAAGCGCAAGTTTGACGTGTGCGTGACAACGTTTGAAATGTGTCTTAAGGAAAAAAGTGCGCTGTGCAAGTTTGCATGGAGGTATCTCGTTATTGACGAGGCGCATCGTATTAAGAACGAAAGCTCTCAGTTTTCCACTGTTGTCCGAATGCTTGACACAGAGCATCGATTACTGCTGACGGGCACACCCCTGCAGAACAATTTACACGAGCTGTGGGCCTTGCTAAATTTTCTACTGCCAGATGTGTTCGCGTCATCGCAAGAGTTCGATGATTGGTTCAACCTGGACGTGGATGATGACGAAGCCAAGAAACAGATGATCAGCCAGTTACACAAAATTCTTCGTCCGTTCATGTTGCGTCGTCTGAAGGCGGATGTCGAGAAGAGTCTACCACCAAAGAAAGAAACGCTGCTGTTCGTTGGCATGTCTGAAATGCAGAAGGTACTGTACAAGTCGCTATTGCTCCGTGATATTAACACGATCATGGGCGGATCAGGTGGCGTCTCCAAAAGTGCACTGCAAAACATTGTAATGCAATTACGAAAGTGCTGTGGTCATCCGTACTTGTTTGAAGGGCAGGAGGACCGGTCTCTAGATCCGCTGGGAGAGCACGTGGTGGAAAATTGTGGCAAGATGGTGTTGGTGGATAGGCTGCTCAAGAAGCTCAAGCAGCGAGGATCCCGCGTTCTTATCTTCACCCAAATGACGCGTGTTTTGGACATTATGGAAGACTTTTGCCGCATGCGCCAGTATAACTACTGCCGCATTGATGGTCAGACGTCGTACGAGGATCGCGAGAACTCTATTGATGAGTACAACGCACCAAACTCGTCCAAGTTCCTTTTTCTACTATCCACTCGTGCTGGCGGTCTTGGTATAAACTTGTACACGGCAGACGTCGTAATTCTGTATGACTCGGATTGGAATCCGCAAGCTGATTTGCAGGCTCAAGATCGTGCACATCGCATTGGCCAGAAGAAGGAGGTAAATGTATACCGCTTGGTGACAACAGATTCTGTAGAGGAGAAGATTATTGAACGCGCACAACAGAAGCTTAAATTGGACGCTATGATTGTCCAGCAAGGTCGCTTGCAGGAAAAGCAGGCCAAACTTACGAAAAACGACATGCTTGAAATGATTCGATTTGGTGCTGATCAAGTGTTCCGCACCACTGACTCGACCATAACTGATGAAGATATTGATGCCATCCTTGCGAAGGGTGAGCAACGTACAGAAGAGATGAAGCAAAAAATGCAGGTGCACGATAAGGGTGACATGCTTGACTTTAAACTTGACGGCGGAGGTTGCCAAAACCACGATGGTATCGACTACTCGAACGAAAAGGAACGACAAGAAGAATTGAAACGTCTTGCAGACGCAGAGCTTGCTCGACAGATGGCAGAGGGCATGGGCAAGCGCGAGCGGCGTACTGTACTTCGTCATAGCCTCGTTCCTTCCGAGAGTAAGCACAGGACAAAGCAAAAGCAATTGCCAAAGGCATTACGCTTGCCACGTTTAGAAGAATGGCAGTTTTATAACCGGAAGCGACTCATTGAGCTTCATGAGATCGAGTGCGCAAACTATGAGCAAGCCAAGGCTGAGATGGAAAAGCCGCCGCTTCCGCCTCACGCACAGTACCTCACTGATGAAGAGCTTAAGGAGAAGGAGCAATTACTAACGGAGGGCTTTAGCGATTGGAACAAGCCTCAGTTCTATCTGTTCATCAAGTTGCTTGCACGTTACGGCCGTGGGAACATCGAAGCTGTGGCTCGTGAAATGATGAAACCCCTGGAGGAGATCGAGGAGTACTCGAAGATATTTCTTGCTCGTGGGCAGGATGAGCTGAGTGATTGGCATAAGATCATGAAGTCTATCGAGAAGGGTGAGTCAAAACTGCTCGAGATTGAGCGTTTGACTGAGGAGACTACGCGTAAGGTAAAGCGTTACGCGAATCCGTGGGAGGACATGCCGATAAACTATCAAGGCAAGGGTGGTAAGGTTTTTACTGAAGAGGAAGACCGTGTACTGTTGTGCCTGGTAAATCAGTTTGGTTACGGAGCGTGGGATCGCATCAAGCAGGAAATCTGCAGTATGGAGATGTTTGCGTTCGACTACTACCTTCGTTCGCGCACGGCGGCTGAAATTGGGCGTCGCTGTGACTCGCTCATGCGTATTTGTGAGAAGGACAATGCAGACTTGGAACTTCGCGAGAAAAAAGAGAATGACGTGAGGCACGTTTTGCAGGAGCAGCGAGCGAAGCTAGACCAACAATTAGCCGCAGCACGTGCCGATGTGAAGCAACATCAGGCCCGCGTGGATGAGCTGATTATGAAGGAGGCTAAGCGCATGCAGAAACAGCGTGAGAATAAGCGTGCAAAGAAGCGCAAGCAACGTGACCAGAACGAGGATATAGTTGACCAGTACACGGAAGCACTGGTGTCTTTCTTGCTACAAGCGACGAGTATGGATGCGGCCAAGGTTGCGCTAGACTTTTGTGCGAAGATTCGACAGGAAAGCGATGAGGAATTGCAGCCGTCGTACGTGCTCAAAAAGATACGCCAGGTCGCCGAACCAGATGAAAATGCCAGTAAGGGTGCTTTGGCGTGGATAATCAAGGCGGAATATTCAAATGTGGAGAAACTTAGCCGGAAGAAGGAGAAGAAGATTATGAAGCAAGAGCACATGAGTGACGTTAGCGATGCCACAGTTATGCAATCCGGGCAGGACGGCACGGGCCGGCTGCCTAGGTCTCCGTGGTCTCCTACAGCGATGAAGCAAAAGGTCAAGAAGGAGAAAAAGGTGAAGAGGGAGGGCTCAGTGCTGAAAAGTGTGAGGAAACCTCGTAGTGCATACGTGTTGTTTAGCGTCGCCAGTCGAGTGGAGGTGAAGCAGTCACTGGGCAACAATGCTAGTTTGGTGGACGCTATGCGCCAGATCGCGCAGACCTGGAAGGACATGAGCCCTGAACAAAAAGCGCCATGGATTGAGGCGGCTAAGCAGGATCAGCTGCGTTATGAGAGCGAGATGAACGAAACGGCAGCGTAAGTTTGCAGCCGTCAGGCAAGAACAAACCCTGTACATTTGTTTTCATGTATGGTCAGCAATGAAGTTCAATCATTGATAGGGTGTTGTGTTGAATCGTGTGGTTGAAACTATACGACGGCAGGAACAAGATCCTTGTTTCGTCAATCATAACCAAGAATCTTGAGTTATCGTTAGTCGACTTATCCACCATAAGCTTGTTGGAAACGGCTCGAAAACAGCCGAGCTTTCGCTATTTACAAAGCATCGACTTATCCTTTCTTGCAAGTTACAGAATGTCGAAGTACTCACCAGCACAATTTCGACTAAAATTCTCGCTTGCTTCAATCAAACGAGGCTCTCTTGACATCCAGTACCTACAATCATATCGAGAATATATGGCATTGGCGTCGTGCTTATCGTACCAGCATGCCGTCGTCACAAGCCAAGTATGAGCTTAATGTAGCATTTTCGATATTCGAGTCTATCAATAATTTCAATCGGTCGTACAAAGTTGTTAACGTTGCAGACACGCAGCCTAAGATCCCCAGCGTGCTCACTACGATTGCAATGCCTGTCGTAGTCGTCCGACATGCGTATGGCAACACAAGTCCACCACCTGTTTTGCAGGCAGCATTCGCTAGCGGGTGCTGGTTGTCTCGACGCTACATTTTGCTACTACATTGACTCATACCTTTCTAGCAGCTTTGCGTGGAACCGTCACTTTCAATCGTACGGACTCAAAGCAACGCTATACCAAAAAGCATTGCCACCTTTTCAAGTTTAATTCGACATCGACCATGATACTCATCATACGATCCTCTGTTCTTCTACTTGCAGTGTCCGCAGTGTCTTTGGACATTGCGACGGCCTCCAGAAATTTGCACACGACCCAGCGCAAATTGCAGACGTACAAGCAGTACAGTGACTACTCCCAAGAGATGCTGGACGCGGTGAACACCGAGCGAGCAAATTCAGGTCTGTCAGCATTGTGCCTTAATAGCAAACTGGCTGCTGCCGCTAAGCGCCACTCGGACGATATGGCTACAAAAGGTTATATGGACCATGATGGCTCGGATGGATCTACTCTATCGACACGTGTTACGGATGCCGGATACAATTGGGAAGCCCTTGCTGAGAACATCGCTGCCGGCCAGACGGATGTTGCTTCTGTCGTGAAAGGGTGGATGGAATCCGAAGGCCACCGCACCAACATCATGAATGCCGATTACACTATGCTCGGTGCGGCATATGCCTACAGCGCCGAGACTACGTACACGCACTACTGGACACAGACCTTTGGCGCTAGCGCAACTGATACGTGCGACAGCGGTAGTTCTAACAGCTCCCAGCCGGCCTATGAGACCCAACAGCAGGACGTGGTAGGTAAAGCTTCAACGTCGCAAGAGACCACGCACACAACGACGGCCAAGTCTTCAGCCGTCAAGCCTCCAGCTGTCGAGTCTCCAGTCGTCGAGTCTCCAGTCGTCGAGTCTTTAGTCTTCGAGCCTCTAGCCATTGAATCCACCGAGACCCCTCGTTGCAAGGTTAAGATGTAAGCGATGTCATTTTTCGATGTTCAAGGAGGTGAGACTATAGTTCTCTCTCTCTGACCCTGTGTTATGCGAACTGCAGAAAGCCTATAATGCTGCTACCGTCGCAGCACGTATGTGTATTGTGTATTGTGTGTGTAATAAACTTACCGGACTCTATCGCATTATCCCTATTGATTTCGTGCCACCCGTAGACAGACGCATACTAAGGACATTGTCAAAGCTTTTGAGCCAAGAGCGCTCGGGAAAAGGCCGGCATCGCTTGCATATTGCTGGTGTCGGCAACAGAAACATGACACCAAATGACCAAGTAACTCACAATGGATCAAGCGAATGCGCCATGTAAAAGCGTGACCAGAAGGCCGTTTCTTACGACGTCCGTGACGGTCTATATGAACCCGCAAGAGCATAGACTACAAGATGCGCGACACATCTTTGGACATAGTATCGACACCTCGTACTAGCACTACTGGACGGGCGACAATGTCGTCGTAGAAGCATAGCCACCTATACTACTAACTGAAACTTGATCTTGGAGACAGCTTCAACATCGCTGTCAATTTTTTGTGGTGCACTTAAATGCGACTTTATTTTATGTCCTAAATTAGCTCTTCGTTACCCTAGTTAATTCGTAAATAACAAGCGCATAATAATTTGAAGTGTACGGTCTCACCCACCTCATCAACGTTTTTTTAGCCAATGATAGCTTCTCTCAGCTTTTCCATTGTGAAATCAAGTCAAGTGATATAATTTATAGCTCGTATAGAAATTTCAAAATAAAAACAAAGAAGAGATACAGTCACACCCAAACACCCAGACAACTAAGCCTAAGAACGTAGAGGTTCTCCGTGCATCTAGGTCGACTTTGTAGCTGACAATTTATCACTATACACAAAAGACACGGCGCTATCTTGTGGTGCAAGAATTACCGGCAAATTCGCATTTGTTGTCGATATACGGCGTTTTCTGCACTAACTCAAGGTCGTTCCTATGAACGGTGATGACGAAAAACGCAGCAAACGGAAGCTTCCAGTCACAATAACTGATCAGTACGACAGGGAATTGCAGCCAAATGAAATTGAGACGCTCACGAAGCGTCAGTCGAGGCTGCAGCTCAAATGTACGGACGACACGACGTTTAATGTGACGTACGAGCAGGCAATGATGTCATCAACACTCTGGGGATTGATGCAAGGTACATAGGAGGCGATAAAAAGTACCGGTCTATTGGTGACGTACATGACGTTTGTGATGTGATGTTTGTAAACGCAGATGCGTCGGAGACGAAGCATAAAAACGGCGCCAAACACCACGTCATTCCCATTTTTGATGTGCCAACCGAAAGTGTACAACGTGCACTGGACTATTGCAGGTTAGTGGTCGTAGGTGCAGTAGAATTTATAGAGAGGATTACTTAGGTATCGTGTTGTGTAGTTGTTTGTATAAACAGCAAGTGGACCGTGTCGATTTGGCGATGCTGGAATGGGAGAAAAAAATTGTTGGTCTGGAGTCAAAGGAATTGTGCGACTTGGCAAAAGTTGCATCAAACTTGGACATTCAACCATTGGTGGACCTTACTTGTCGGTCTATTGCACAGATCATGTCGGCGACCTCCGAGGCAGACGAGCTGAGGAAAAAGTTTGGGTTGGAAGACCCGCCAGATGATATTGAATGCAGCTGTGAGCTACGGAGTGACATGGCAGGATTCGACTTCGATATGTTTAATTCACTGGACCATGACCTCTCGACAGAAGAATATGATCTAGTGGAGTTTGACCAGCCCAGCGTCGATGAGTTGGTAAGTTTCATCAACGGCAGCAGTAGCAACGTGAACACGACGTCGAATCAGATTAAACAGCACCAAGTTGCAATAGGTGCTAAGAAGACCTGCCATCGTTCCGGTGAGAATTTGTCAGATCCTGGCGACTCTATCAATAGTAGTGTTATGGCCAGCAAGAAGAAGCGCAAAAAACGCAAAAAGAAGAAATCGCCTTATACGTTGCTGCAATCCGACACACAACCAGAGTGTGCGATGAAGTCCAATTCAATGGGGTCCAATAAAACGATTCAGGAGTTGAGCAGTAGCGACGAAGAAAAAGAAGAACCAGATTCTACTTTGACAGAATTGTCAAGTTCTCGAAACGGAAAGAGCACGAGACAACAGACACTGGAAGAAAAAGTCCGGTTAGCACGACAAAACCCGAGTGCAGTGTTTAAGGAATCACAATTCGAAGATGACGACGACGAGGATATGGCGAAGGTTATCAAGATGTTCGAGTTAAACCTAGAGTCTGCGTACCGGGATTGCGGCAAGAAGGAAAAGCCCCGTCTAAACTTTGCACCACGCGAAGTGTTCCGGTCCTCAACTGTGCGCTCGTCGCAATTTAATTATGTACAGAGCCGTTTGTCGGCTACCTGACGTAGCAAGCGCTGCCACAAATAACACAAGTCCTACTGAAGACGAGTCGTTTCCTGGCTGTTCTGCAAGCGATGCGCCGGTAAAAGGACAGCAGACATCGTTTATGCGTGACCATCTTCCCTCCTAACTATGTTGGTTGCTTACCGTAACATGACCAGAAATCCCTCACGAAAAACTTGATAAGTATGTGACTTCATAGGATGAAGAGTCTATTGCAAAATGCTAATCGGCAGAGACATTCACACGCCACTTATCGATCTTGAGATTTTGCAGGAACTGGATGCGACGGTAGAAGAAGAGCAGCCAGGCGATACCGATCACCAAGCAGATGACCGACTCCACGTAGAAGCCATCGCGTATGATGAGACACTCACCTCCAGCGTCAGCACAGGCCTTACGCTGCTCGGCATTCGAGCATGTTTGGGATCCAATGTCCAGCACATCGTCGTGGAAGTAGCCGCCCAGACACTCGCGCGTGGTAAGATGATCCACAAAGGCAAGGCTAAGTGAGTTAGGCCACTTTGAGCCCAAGTTTGTGATCGTGTTAAGGAAAGTCATGTATGTCCCACCAATGGACGGGTCGCTGATACGAGCGTAGAAGGCCATCTGCGGGACGAACATCATATTGGCTGCGACTTCATGCAGTGCACCAATTAGCAAGATCACACCGTAGAAGACATAGTGAGAACTCTCCTCTTGCGCCATCGCCATGGGTGTGACGTACACAATCCCAGCATATAAAAGTCCCACAGCTAGTCGTACGGGGTAACCCCAAAGAAAAAGATTGAGCGGTTGTGACGGTTTGATCCATCGACCGATCATCACTGGGATTACAATACCGAGCGGGATGAGTATCGGCGTTAGCAGTGCCAGCTTCTCCTTCTTCATGCCATATTCCACCAGCTTGAGTGATGCTACACTTTCAGCAGCAGCAAATCCAATCTTGCTCGTAAGCAGTAGCACTGACAGCGACACGATACTCGGTAGACGCAACACCGAGTACATCTGCGAGTAGGTTTGAGCAATAGTCAATCGTTCGCTACCCTCGTCCTCCGACTTCTCATGCTTAAAGATCCACACACCTAGAGTGGTGAAAAACATGATCCATCCCCAGAAGCTCATAAAGCCCGGCAGCGACACGATGCCCTCGTCTGCAGGTTCGCTGCGCATGTAGCTGTTACACGTCGCCGGGTCGTTGAGTGCCAGGAAGCCCACATAAGCTACAAAGTAGCCGATCGTCTGACCCACCGTGTTGCACGTGGATGCATGGCCCACATTCTTTTCAGAGAGCATGGTGATGGCCCAACCGTCGACGGCGATGTCCTGTGTGGCCATCATAAAGTAGAGTACAAAGAAGAAGGCCGTGAGGTAGACGACATGCGGCTTCTGGCCCTCACCTTCACCCAGTAGATCACTCATGAACCAGCTGCCCACTACCATGAGCGCCGCGCAGGTAAATTGCACAGGGATGAGCCACGACTTGCGACGACCAAAGCGTTCACTGTAGATCGAGTCTACAAATGGTGCCCAAAGCAGCTTGAGACTGAAGGGCCAGGACACAAGACTAAAGGTCGCTTGATCTCCATAGCCCACTTTCTCTTGCAGAATGAATGGAATACTACTGGATAAACCCATAGGAATGCCTTGCAAAGTATATAGCAGTAGTAATAGCATGATGGACGACCAGTCGATCGCTTCAGACTCCTCGTTCTTAGGATCCACGCCATCAACAGACGCTGTAGAAGTCTTGTTCGAGACGACAGATGATGCACTTACTATCGTAGAGGAATGTTCATCATTTGTCACGCCCTTACGCTGTCGCAGAGACGACATATTTCAAGAGACGCTTGGATCCGACAGGTCAAAAATTGATTTGTGACGTGTTCAATTTACCGACCAATATGTATGCTCTTTTTAATTGGTTGAAAGTAAATATTTATTTGCACGAATCAGGTGATCGACTGTCACTCTATCGGCATTTGAGTGCCCAAGACGTCATTAAAAATGGCGACACTATTCGGCAGCCTCCCATCGGCTGCGATGCGTAATCGAGGCCGGAGTACGGCACTTGTGAGTTCGACTGGGAACAGTAAAGAGCGTTCATTACAGTGGGTGTATGACGACGAGACGAGCAATTGTATGCATTGCAATACGCCCTTTACAGTGATCACTCGCAAAGTGAGGAATTCATGTGCACTGTATATTGAGACGATGGAGCGACTACTGTACTTATCCATCGGGTTGTATATGTTTAGCATCATTGTCGACGCTGTGGCAACGTTGTGTGTCATAATTGTTCACCCCACAACCGCCGTATTTCATCCACGGACCCATTTGTACGTTACTTTTAGATAAAGTAAAGAAGATACGGCATGTGTTGGTAATCTATTGCTTGCATTTTACAGCCAATGCGGGTTTGCAATACGTGTTACGCTGCAGTAGATGAACACTTTGCATCGCTGGAATGGTCGGGCCACTCGTCAGCAGAGGTACGATACCGGTTGACAGTGTACATTACAATTCGACTAACATTTTTGTTGTGATGGTCAGATTGAGAGCAAACCCGACCCAGTTATTGAAGGACGGGTGCATATTGGACAACTGTATGTGAAAGTGGTGGAGGCAATTGGACTGCCGTCGACAGACTCGATAACAAGTGACCCATTTGTACGCCTGAGGCTGACGGGCAAATGGTCGCATGGACAGGAATGGGGAAACGACTTGAGGAACATCAAGTGCACGAAGAAGAAGTCGCGCACGCTTAACCCACGCTGGCATGAAACGTTCGTGTTCAATGTGTGTGCACCTGGAGCTGAGCTGGTGTTCGAGGTGTACAACTACGGTCAACTGAGTCAACCTACGAAGCTGGGCGAGGCTACTATTCCACTTTCGCAGATTATGGACCAGCGACGACATAACAAGTGGCTGGATCTATTGCTGCCGGAAAAGCTTCATCGCGCAGGACTTAATAATGATGCGCGAGCAGGACGCATTCACATCCTGCTTCACTACAAGTTTTCACGAATGGCAGAATTCTGCAGCTACTTTTCGTCGGAGCAGGACTATGTCTACGAATGGCCAGAGTTTCAAGCAGCACAACTGTACAGCAATTTCTGGGTGCTGTTGGATAACCTCTGGCCGTATCTAGAGGTGATATGGCAAATATTGCCAACCCTCAACTGGGAGCACCCGACGCACTCGTTCATGTGCTTTGCACTTTGCGTATGGTTGTGCCTCTCGCTGCAATGGCTACCGGTAGTCTTCCATCTCGCTCTCATTGCGTTCGTACTCCGCAACTACTTCGAGGTGAACTTCCACTCGTTCGCAGCTGCAGGCGAGAATAAGGATCAGCCCGGTAGTGCAAACGCAAATCTAGACAATGACATGAGCAATGGCTCGTTTCGCCAATATAACCTTCCATCGGGTTTCAACCACTTGATGAACAAGATGACTCACGTTACTATCGACCAAGAGACGAAGCGAACATTGCAGTCCGTGCAGAACAACATGGCTTGGTGGTCGAGTATCATTAACAACCTTGAGCTCATGTTCTCGTGGGAAGACACGTTTTATACGGCTCGCATACTGCTCTACCTCATCGTGAGCTGTGTGCTGCACATCGTAATTCCCAACAAGTACCTGCTGCTAGCACTCATGGTGTATCTCTTCATCCAGTGGACAGTGCCATTTATGTGGCTCAAGCACTTTATCTCCGCTATCCGCCAGTCCATTCGTTCCGTAGTGCATCAACACCAACTTCGGAGCACAATGGCACAGGCCGATTTAAACGCAAGACTGTCTGGTGGTCTTATCCAACCTGATCCGTCACGAACCATGCGTCGCACTGTCTCAAACGCCAGTACTCGAGCACGCGCTCGTGTATCGAAGAAAGAGGAAGCTTTTGGTGCTGCAGCGTCGGCCATTTCAGAGAGATTCGTTGTCTCTGGAGAACCCAGCAGCACTTATAAGAGGAAATGACGTTGAGCTGTTTAACTGGTTGTTGTGCGAGATATAGTAGGCCTAGAATAGGTTCAGAGTGATGGCTACATTCCGATTACGTCACCATATGAATGGGTACCGTTGACCGCCATCATTTATTGCAAACGTTGGCATATTGACGGCTACTTCGCTGCTCTATTTTCTTCAAATCATCGTGTCTTGTGTTGCTGGTGTTTTACTGTCTGTGTGCCGATTGATCTACTGTGATGCTGCTTCAGCGTCTTGTGATACTTATCTACTCCCTGTGGTCGCTGCTGCACCGCATCAAGCACAAGAAATGGCTTCTGCTTGTAATCGTCAGCTTTTACATGGGCTTACGATCTACACAGAAGGAACCGGTAGTGGGAGAGCCGCGTGAAGTTCTTATCAATCACATGATCACAGAGACAAAGGACGATGGCATTCACATGGCACCGACGCTCGTACGAACGCCATGGACTAACACGAGTTTTGAATGTGTAGGCTGGAAGCGTATTCAGTCGTGTAGACAAGAGAAGCCGAAAGATATAGTAGACATTACGCCAGAGCCTGAGAAGGACTTTATGGGATGCTCAGAGGAGATCGGGACACAGATGGCAGGCTACTGTATCGTACGAAATCGCACGTCTGGTGACTTGTACAAGCTCATGGTCACCTCCTGCGACTCGCTGCCTACAGAGTATTTTTTCACGTGCGACATGGCTCGCGATTTTTCCGAGTTTGGATATTACTCGGCAGAATATAAACACACACCTGTGGCGCCAACGTTGGCGTTGCCGCTCGCCGCGACTAGCAAGCGTCAGCCAACAAATGGTGTGGTGATGATTATTTATGATCGTATATTGCCTTCGGCGTATGCTACGATTCGGATGTTGCGCGCTCAGGGCTGCGAGCTTCCTGTTGAGTTATGGTATCGGCCCGATGAAATGTCAATCGACAACCCCATCATTTACAAGCTGTTGTCGGACTTCAATGTACGGGTGCGGCCAATCTTTGACCGTCGTGCGATGGGGTTTCATGTCAAGCCGTATGCAGTATACTACAGTAACTTTGACAATATTTTGCTGCTGGATGCCGACAACTTGCCAGCGAAAGACCCAACGTATTTGTTCGAGGAGCCGGAATTCCTACAAACGGGTGCCATCTTCTGGCCTGACTACTGGCAGCCATCCAACTCTCTCTTTCAATTATCGAACACAAGTCTTTTGTGGCAGCTCACAGGCGTGAGTTATGTGGATATGTTCGAACAAGAAAGTGGCCAGGTACTGATCGACAGACTGCGTAGCAAGCGCGCGCTAGACAAGCTGATGTATTACTCGACACATCAACCTCGGTTACTGGAGCAATTGCACCTTATTTGGGGAGACAAGGATCTCTTCCGACTGGCTTGGCTCAACACCAGCCAGCCATTCCACTTCATTAGATATCCACCTGCAGTTGGCGGATTGAATTTGCAGGAAGAGAAGGGCGTATTTTGTGGACTCGCTATGATTCAGCACGATGTGCAGGGCAATCTCGTGTTCTTTCACCGAAACTCCATCAAGCTGGACGGCAAGCCGGACCAACCGCGGATTATGAGCCATATCCAGGAGTATTCGCTGGAAGGAAACCCCCGCGATTACCGTATCTTCCAGGCCGTGCACGCGTACAAAGAGTGCTGCTACTACGTTGGCACGGACTCATTGCCGGATGGACGGCCAGCTACCCAGATTACACCCATTGACTCGACAATATACGCGTCCATTGAGGAACTTGCGATTCAATTCTCCGTTGAGGCGCGGCAACTGCTACTCGATGACGCAATGACCAACGATTTCCGCTTTCTGTCTATGCGCGTGCAGTATATCGTGGCACTGTTCCTGCTAGCCTACGTGCTCGCAATCATCATGTTCGTGTGGTTCAAAGGCCGTCCTGCACGGGAACGACTTCCAAGTCGCTGGAAACCCATGGAGTCCAAGGAGAGTTAGTAAAATGAGTGAGAAATGACATAGATACCAATCAAGCTAAAAAGACGAGCTCTCTGTTAGTGTCAATATTAGCACAGTGCAACATCCATAGACACAAACTCCTGCACATTTTCAAGCAGTTGACGCGTCTTGAAGCTACTTATTAATAGGTTTCTTGCTGCTAAAAATTGATTTAACGAGTGTGCTTGTCCAAATAATTTCCCCATTACATTTATTGCTGCTGTTCCTTATTAAGCTTTGAGGGGACTCAACCACTAACACAAACTAGATGACGAACAGCAATGCTTAAATTACTGGGGGAATGCCTTCCGCTTTCCTCAATCACGCATAACATGGCCCATATATTCGCAAGTAGCATCCGTCCTGCTTTCTCCAATGCCACAAGCAATATGAAGTTACTGCAAGACTGCAAGACATCAGCGTATCCTACCAGTGCTAACGCCTCGCACTATAAAATGAGCTGAAAAATTAGCACTAAAGGTTGATAATTTTAGCTATATAATGTTGTTTTAAGAGTTAAAATGCGATGAAAGTGTAGATGTCATTGTCAAAATTCAATTTTTGATCGGTCGGATATTTATATTTGTTGTCTAAGTTGAAGTTTGCTCCATTTCACCCCATCCCATTCCGTAAAGAATTTGCCGTTTAGTTACCCGTGACCCACATGCTGACCGTATTCCGGGCGCGAGGCCGCGCTCTGGCCGCTACGCGACAGCCCCAAGCATCTCGCAGGAGCTCCGTGGCGCTCGTGCCCGCACGATCGTGGATGCCTGCCAGTTCGCAACGGACGGCCTTCTCCTCGTCTCCATTATCATCTTCGACGAGTCAAAATCTAGATTTTCCTGCTTGTGATATTGACCAAAGCGTGGGTCAAAACCTTCTGTACGCCGGGCTGGCGCTGGTGTCGACGGGAATGGTGTTTACAGAGATGGAGACGGCTGCAGACGTGAAGGAACCGGCGGAGGAGACGCAGGAGGACCTGGTAGAGATCGTGAAGCACATTAACGAGCATAAAGAGGCTGTTGAAGCTGCAGTGAAGCAGAACGAGAGTAAGAAACGGACCTTGAGGAAGAGAAAATTGAGTGTGAGAAATGGCAAGATGGTGGTGAGCACTGCGGCCGTGCGAGGTGACCGCGCGTACATGGAAGACACGTCATATGTTTCTTCTTGCAAGCGGTTCGCGGCAGTGTACGATGGTCATGGTGGCGCTGCGGTGTCGCAATATCTACGCGACCAGCTCTTTTCTATGATAGGACCAGAGGTGGCACAACTGGATCAGGAGATTCTTGCTGAAATGAAAGGCGAGTCAAGTGTGATGACAAAATTGAGTCGACGTCAAAAAATCGCGACAATGTTGCGCGATTCCGTGCACAGACTAGATCAAGAGGTAATTGCCAAGAACGAATGGAAATTTCAAGGCTCGACTGCGGTCGGGGTGCTCTTGTTTGAAGACGTGCTATACTCGCTAAATGTGGGTGACAGTCGCGCGGTGCTGTGTCGGTCGGGAGATGCAGTGGAACTTACACGGGATCATAAACCTAACGATCCGCAGGAACGTGCTAGAATCGAGTCTCTAGGTGGTCTTGTGCAGTGGCATGGCTACGTTGATGCTCAAGGTGAGCCGATCGAACCTTACGGAGCATATCGGGTGAATGGCAATTTGGCAGTGGCGCGAGCCATCGGAGATCGTGACTCGCGGCCTTTTGTCATCGGTGAGGCGGAGATTCGACAGTACGACATCGAGTACGATAAGGACGACTTTATTGTGATCGCGTCGGACGGACTCTGGGACGTGTTCACCAGTTGCGAGGTGGTCGAGTTCGTGCAAGATGTCATGAGCGGCGAGCTCGGCGGACGCGAGTCCTGGAGCAGCGGCGGTCACAGCGACACTCGCGTTCCTATTTTCAAATGGTCGCAGCAGTATTCGAGCGATCGCTCCATGATTAAAGCTGCCCGCAGGCGGCGGAAGGTGCAGATCGCCAACTACTTGGTGCAAGAGGCACTCTTTCGCGGCACTTCAGACAACGTGTCTGTGGTGGTGGTGTGGCTTCGTTGAGGTGCGCTCACATAGTCCCCAGTTTCTTCCAGCGGGTTAAGGCATCCACTAGTATCTGCGTCGGTGGTCAGCTCACGAGACTGAATCTGAAATATTTGTTGCGTTACGTAAGCCATTTTGATTTTGTATTCTGATGAAAAAATATTGAAAAATATTTTTCACCTTCCCTCTTAAAATGGCTGCATTTTTTGATCTTCTTCGCAGCATAATATTAGTACTCGAACAGCATAAAGTTAAGAATCCTACCGCTGCTGCTCTTAGCCAAGCTCGTTAGATTTGACGTGAAACTATTCGTCCAGATTCCAACTGCAATAGTCAGGATCCAGCATGAAAGTGATTAAAAAATGCAATAAGTAGCTAGCGATGCCAGCATGTTTAGCTAATCTGGGCATACATCTCCACAAGTGTGGAGCGTACGACTTAACTTAAATAGCGGCAATAGCCATGTAGAAAGAGATTTACTCCTGCATGCAATAGGCGTGAAAGTGGTCTCTGCGCGAGTGCACTTCTTTTGTCGATAGTCTTGGTGAATCTTTGTCCTGCATTGACTGTGTAAAATAAACGTTCCAGTTGACTCACTTCGTTTGTCAATACTCGATTTATCGCTATCAGCTCTCCACTACGTGCTTGTAAACTACGTGCAAGCTTTCCTCCCCTCGTTTAGTCATTTTGTCTTGTTATATATTCTTTCATAAACATAGTGGCATCATAGGTTCCTTCATAAAGATACATGACACAGTGCTCCAGCACTTCGCGGAACTGCTGATACAAAGGAGCTGCCAGTACTTCAGTAACGCATCCTGTAAGCTTTCTTTACGTTCTTGGGTGGTGACGATTGATTAGGTAGCTAGTTGTCAGCTAAAAAACGCAGAAGTTGAACCAGGAAAGCATAACACCCGCTTTTTTAACCAAGTCTCACCCGCGCAATACCTTCTGGTCTTTGTCAATGGTGTTAAAGCGACAAGGATGAAGTTAACTATGGCTTAAGTTATCTGAAGCAACCGACCCCACCGAAGAATAGGCGTGATCGTCATCAACAACTCTACGTTTTTCATTGAAGGCCAACATTATTCGTTGAAACTTAACAGCCACCAGAACTTCAAGAGATTCCAAGTTCCCTTTGACCAGAAAGCTTTAGTCAGAGGCTCGGACGAACGCAATTAGCATCGTCGCATCTATATAGGAACATATCCTACTTATGAAAATACGCGAATATTCTTTTATATAGCATGTAGGTGTCTTCTGATTACTCAGTATTACCCGCTTGGTATGGTGACGCCCATGCACCCGGCGGTAGCTCGTGTACGAGTTAGTGTCGAGCGGTCAATTAGGAATTTAAAACAGATTTATTTAAAAAATATATTATTGTTTCTTTATTAAGTAGCTTTTATACCTACTATTACAATAATAATGTTCTAATATATTATACTAGGGTGTGTACCCGTCGTTCCGACGGACATGGTTTTATGCTAATAATACATATATAGGGGTGTTCCCGTCGTTTCGACCGATAGGTGCACAAATTTGACGCTGATCGTATATTGACTTAGGTAATTGATTAGTACTAAAGGTAATGTGTATGAAGGTCAATGTGTGCCTGTCGTTTCGAAAGTTAGGGTGTCCACCCGTCGTTTCGACGAACATGGTCTGCCTTTTTACCTGTTAATCTATCAACTTGCGTTAGATAATTAAATTGACTTAGGGTATAGATAAATATGAAGGCAATGTGTACTCGACGTTTCGCAAAACTTTCATTTGATCACCCGTCGTTCCAACAGTACGAAATTGTATATACAGGCTTTGTAAGCGCAATAATCTGCTAGGTTGTTTACCTGTCGTTCCGACGGTGCATATTAGATTATATAGGCACCTTAAGCGCATTGATTTGCTTGAGTGTACACCCGTTGGACATGTGTGCAAAAATTACGCTAATAGTATATGGGCAACTTTAACGCAGCGTTTCATTAGGGCATTCACCGGTCGTTCCGACAGTGCGAAGTAGTATACATATGCATCATTTACTTGATTATCAAGTCGGCTAAGGTTATAGTGATGGGTATGAAACTCAATGTGTACCCGTCGTTCCGTGCATTTTCCATTTAATTATAAAGCATGATATAGCATGATGGACTAATGGATTTTATTATACAAATTTTAGTCATGATACCTATTTCTATAAATGGATGTCCAGCGAAATTTTATTGCTATACCTGATACATATTACTAATTAAAATAAAAGTAATGGAAATTTGCTTACAAATATGTAATTGTGCTCAAATGCGTTATCAGCCAATCCAAAATTAGCAAATAATGCAAAAGTAGCCAATCCGAATGCCGAAAAAGGAGCACTACGGACGGACACAATTCTTTTATTATATAGAAGACTAGGGTGCTCACCCGTCGATCAGACGGTGCGAACAGTAATATATATACTGTAGGAATCTTTAGAAAACGCAGCGAGTTAATAGGGTGTTCACCCGTCTTTCCGACGGGTATGGTGCGCAAAGTCAACGCTGATAATATATTGGATTATCATTTTGTTAAGAAAATCTAGTTACCTTAGGTAAACTGATAAGTAGAAACAGTGTGTATGAAGGTCCATGGGTACCTGTCGTTTCAAAGGTAAATGTGTGCTGGTCGGTGAGCCCGTCGTTCCGACGAAAAGTTGCGAGAAAACCATAAATGTTGAATCAAGTATATTTAGGAAATGATTGTAAGTCAAACAGCTTTTTGATGCTAAGATCTTGAACGGAGATCTGTGTGCTTTATTAGTGCTGGTAATTCGGACACACTAAATGGATTATATATCCTGTTATGGAAATCTGCTCATGTTATTAGCTATGCAAAATACAATATCAGCCAATGCAAAATTAGACAATAATGCAAAATTAGGCAATCCGATAGCCGGAAAAGGAGCACTTCGGACGGACGGACGGACGGACACAATTCTTTTATTATATAGAAGATTATTTTAAAATAAACTGGCCAAAAAGTATATCTTTATTTTTTAAGACGTAAAAATGCGATAAGCTACACTAAATAATTTTTTTTAAATATAATCATTTATTATCAATCAATAAAATATGCTAAAAAATAGGTAACTAAAGAGGTAGATCAAGTCAACGTGGCATGTGATGAATCAGGAAATCACCCCAACTTTGATGACGTTCACGCCGCTGACAAATACGTCAAGACAAGAAAATAGTGTTTGGCTTGATGTTATTGCACATATATGCAAACTACCATCACGTGGTCGACAATTGCAATGTAGCTTGGATTACATGGGCACGGCAATTGACGCTTTACAGCGGATTGTAGAAGGCTGGGTGCATTTTCTCATGAAGAAAGCGCAAGGCTCCAATGTATTGCATTACTGCAATGAAGTTTTAAACGCTAGTACTAAGCTTAGCAGCATCTGGGCCAAGATGGAGGACGAGGACGTCGCTATCAGCTTGTTGCGCAGTCTTCCAAAGAGCTACGAGAATGTCGTGCTAAATTTGAAATGAATAGCGCTGAGCAACGGACACAAGAGGTTGTGATGGTACTCATGAAGAAGCATATCAAATGACTTGAGGAAACGATGGCATTGGCGAAAGTTAAAGAAACAAGCAAGGCCTACAATATCGAGCGCGAATTTCGCCAATGTACCTTCTGCGGCAAACTAGTGCACACGGTAGACTGATGCTGGACCAAGCAGAAGAAATAATACCGAGAAGTTCAACTCGGCGGGACAGCTCGTGGGTACTTAAGCTTAGTGGAAGGACTACAAGAGTAGCTACGACTACGAGATGGAAACAAGGCTGCAATCAAGGGTAGCGGAACTATTGTTAAAAACGTAACTCTGCCCAATATTGTGTCGAGCGCGAGATTGAAATCAAGAAGGCGCCTTTCGCTTAAGCATAACCAAGAATCTCCAATGATGTCTTACATCAACAAGAACAGGCAGTTTTAAGTAATGATCGATAAGATTAGGATGCACATTACACGTAATGGTATCGATCAAGTGGTGGCAGTAGCGGAACTGGTGGATAGACTTTACATGCTTCAAGTTTTTTACGATCAGAAAATGCTGTATTTGACAGCAAACGGATGATCTCCATGCGCGCATGGGTCACACATTAGTTCAAGTTCTCTACAAAATGGTTACTAGCGGGCGTACGCCAAAATGCCAAACAAGTCAAACGGATTAAGTATGTTAAGTGGCTGTCAAGAAGGAAACTTTGGTTGTAACGCCATTTCTAAGCAACCTTAACAAGCGCCACTATGATCCATTCGAGCTACAATTAGAATTCGAAACGCTGGGTGGCAGTAAATATATGCTGCTAATCGTGAACGAAGGCAGCGGGTGTATGAAGGGCTTCTTTCTACGCGCAGGGTCAGACAGCGAAGACTTTCTTAAAAAAATAACATCGTGGCGATACAAATGCAGTTCGACAAGAAATTTAAGTTTATTCGTCAAGACGGAGCTCGTAAATTTTCAACATCTTCACTCAAGATATTTTACGCGGATAAAGGGATCGAGCAGCAAGTCACGGTCCCATACTAATGGCACATCGGAACGCGCTATTCGAATTATCGTTATCATTGGTCGTAGCATGCTTCACAATGCCAAGGGTGGACAATTTTTGGGGGCTGAGGGGCCATGACGGCAATTTACATCAGAATCATCTGCCATCGACCAAGTATTTTGATTCTGGGCGATGGCTTATTCGAAATCATCAACGGGATCTAGCCAAGTGTAAAGCATATGCGAGTCTTAGGGTATCGATCATACATGCTAAACAGGACCCTGAATTCTGTAAAGGACTGATATGTGAAACTAGGAAATGTTTAAGACGTATCATGTCTATGGCATCGATGAGGGGCAGGTGATGTTTATTTGATATGTCACATTTGACAAGTTGACTTTTAAATTTTCGCCGGCTATCCCGCAACAGCTTGGCAAAGACACTACGCTATTTTGATTTTATAAACATCACTGATCACCTCGTCAAACTGGC